TGAAGGGACCAGGCATGTGGAGACAAGCAGGAGTGTGATGAGGCCTGACGCCAGAACCATGGTGGCAGGGGCACTCTGCTTGTGGCTCTCTGGCTGTGGCTCAGGTCGTGGGATTCTTGGAGCTGACTTTCCAGCACCTACCTGTGATGTGAGCAAATTCAGTCCTCATTTTCATAGCCACACCCCAGGGAACATGGAGGCATCATGGCATGAAAACTGGAGTTCTTCTACCACTGGGGTTGGAAGCCCATACTCATCTCCATGCTGGGGGCACTTTCTCCCCTGAAGTGTTTACCCAGCTCTCACAGACCTCCCTAAGTCCTAGTGGTTCCCGCTTCCTATTTGTGACTCTGACAGAGTCCACAGGGCCTGCTGGCCAGTCCCTCACCAGTCACCCAAGATCAGCTGGAAAATGACAGCTGAATGAAGGGGAAGGACTTAAAGGTGCCCACCCAGTGGGGGAGATAGCCTTGTGGTGAGGTCCCCATCCAGCCCTCCACCCCCAGGCATGTGTGGCTCACAGCCTCTGGAACCACCCCAGAGGGTGGTTCAGACTCCATATACTGCAGCCTGCAGCATGTGCTACAAAACCTGAATGTGAGGGGGAAAAGGAAAAACCAAGCAAAATCACAGAGTGGGCGGTGGGGAGGGGGCCATTTTGCAGTGAGCCAGGCTGGGCTGATTTCTGACCAGATTTTGGCCAATTAGGAGAGCTGTGTCAGTCCTTGATGAATCAGGGTCTGCTTTCTGGGTTAAAAGTTCCAGAAACCAGTCTTGGAAACTAATCTTGGGCTTAAGACACCACTGTCCTCAACTCCAGCCGGTGATTATTCTGCCACTGGGGTTGGAAGCCCACACTCACTTCCATGCTGTAGCCTGCGGAGTGGAGCTGGCTATGCTGGGTCCTCAGCTGGGAGCATCTGGGTCCCTCCTCATTCACTAGCTGAGGGTGACTGTTGGGGACTGAGAGGACATGTGTTGGCCCCCAGGTTTCCCTATCCAAAGTCCCCAAGCCCCCCAAAGACAGATTTTGTCCATTCCCAGCCACCATGGGGCCAGAATGGGGCAACCATTTTCCCCAGGAATCATGCTTTAGGGCAAGTCCTTGAGGTCAAACTGCCTCACTTTTATTCCATGTGCTGTCCAGGTGATGGAGGGGGATGCTGAGACTCCTCTGTAAATGCCTAGTGTCTCCACTGAGACGTGTGTCAGGGTTTCCCACTACTCACATGAGATCCAGGCCAGAGCCTCACATCCCAGACATCTGGGAGTGGGAACTATGGAGGCAGTGAGCAGCAATCTCCATAGACACAGCCATGGCCCCAAAAGTGAGAGGAGGCTTGGTGGTTTAGAGAAACCAGTCAGTGGCTACTGCCAGGGCTGAGCGGCTTCTTCAGGTGTGAGTGTGACCTCCTCTCCTCTCATCATCAAAGAAGTAAGCATTGCCAGTCACAACAGGAAGAGTGTAAACCTGGACGCCAAGCTGCAGGGTTCCAACAGCTCATTAACGTGGTAGTGAGTGGACAAGGCAGACCACTCTGCATACATGCTCCAAGCTGCAGCGGGCATCTCAGAGTATGCCAAGTGCAGCAGAAGCAGTGGGAGCCTGGTTTTCTCTGGGTTCCTTACAGACTAGGTGATCCATCAGTGCTAGCCTTGAATATACTGGGCAGCCCTGCAGGGTTCCCCTGCCTGCATCTCTCCATGCACCAGGGTTAACCTAGCCGTACACTTCTGACACAGTTGTGATTTTTAAAAACTGGTTTCTGAGCCTTGACCTGGTGTCTACAGGAGCCTCAGACCTGTCCTAAGCTGAGGTCTTGCTGGTGGCAGAAGGTACCTCTGTCAGGGGCTCCCATCCTGTGCCCCCACAGGGACCTCAGGTCTTGTGGAGAGCAGACAGCAGAGTGTCATTGCTGAGGTCCCCCACAGAGAGAGGCAGTGGAGGAACTGGCTCTACTGGGCAGTCAGGCGTTGTGAGCAGAGGAGGCCTATGGGCTGGGGTGGGATTGTGGCTAGGCAGGGTAAGATGGTGACATGTGACTTTGAGAGGTTGTGTGTGGCCAGCCTTCCCAGCAAGATGACTGTCTCTGTCCAAACCCTGGAACATGGCCCTAGCACTGGGCTGCACACCAGGGCCTTCGCCAACTGCAACTCACTAATTTCCAACAACCTAGCCAGCCACACACTCTGAAATTTGCCTAGAGGTTATGTTTTTTCAGTGAGGGGTGGGGAGGTTATTTTTTTTTTTTTGGCAGAACTGGGGTTTGAACTCGGGGCCTTGTACTTGTTAGGTAGGCACTTAACCACTTGAGCCACACCCCAGTTCTTTTTGCTTAAGTTCTTTTTTCCCATAGTCTTTTTCTGGGTCAGTCTGGACCATGATCCTCATATTTAACTGTGATTATAGGCCTGAAATACCACATCTGGTTATTGATGGAGATGATGTTTCACTAACTTTTTGCCTGGCTGGCCTCGAACTACAATCCTCCTGATCTTTGCTTCCTTAATAGTGGGGATTATAGGCATAAGCCACCATGCCTGGCTGAGATTATTTTAATACAAAATATTTATTTTATTGATATATATGATTAACACACATTTAAGCATCCAATTGCATGATTTTCAGTGTATTCTGATTTGTGCAGCCATCACTCCAGCCAAAGCCAAAACAGTTTCCTTGTGTCAGAATAAACCCTGTGCCCCAGGACCAGCCTCCATGCCCCAGCCCTGTCCCAGTCCACTTTCTACCCCTACAGATTTACTCGGAACTGTCATATGAATGGAACCATATGTGCATGGTCACGTGTGCCTGGCTTCTTCCATGTCACGTTTTCACGTTTTCACGGTGTACTGATGCTGTGTCAGTGCCTAGCCTTGTCCCATCGTGAGGGCACACCACCTTTTGTTTGTTCACTTGCCCACCACAGACATTTGTGTTATTTGGCTCTTGTGAGTAATGCTATAAAATTCACACCCGAGGCTCTGTGCAGGCACATGCTTCTTTTCTCTTGGGCAACACCCATGAGTGGCATTGCTGGGTCAGATGGCAGCTCTGCTTAGTCACTTGAGGAGCTTACATTTGCAGCACTGCCTGAGCTCCAGTTTCTCCAAATTCTTGCCAACGCTTGCTGTGGTCTGACCACTGGTTGCAGCACCATCTGAGGTGTGATTTGCACCTCCCCCACGACTCTCGAGGCTGAACATCTATTCCTGTGCCTAATGACTGTTTGTGTATCTTCCTCCATGCTGTGTGAGCAAAATTTTTCTTAATTTCATTTTCAGATTGTTCACTGCAAGTACATGGGGATAAAACTGATTTTTGTATATTGATCTCACATCCTTCAACCCCTTTGAACTCCTTGTCTCTGTTGGTTTTTTAGTGGATTCCTTAGCGTTCCTACATACCAGGTCAAGTCACCTGTGAAGAGAGAGTCCTGTTTCTCCCCTTCCAATTGAATATCTTCATTTCAGTTTTGTTCAATTGTTCTGGCTTGCACCTCCGTCCAGCAGTGCTAGAATGACAACACAGACCTGGTTTCTGACCTTAGGGGAAAAGCATCCAGTCTTACAGTATTAAGTGTGATGTCAGCTGCCAGTGTTCTGTGGGTGCCCCTTTGGGGAAGTTGCTAGTTTTTGAGTGCTTATCATGAAAAGATGGTTTTTGCCAAAAGGTTTTTGTGTCAACTGACATGGTTACATAATTTTCAGGTTTTATGATATTGCTATGATGTATTAATTGATTTTCAGATGCTAACCCAAACCGCTTCCCTGGGATAAATCCCACTTGATCATAGTTTTTTGTTTTTGTTTTTGTTTTGGTGGTGGTGGTGGTTGGGTGGGTGGGGTTTGAACTCAGGGCCTCAGGCTTGCTAGGCAAGTGCTCTACCATCTGAGCCACTCCACCAGCCCTTTTTGCTTTAGATATTTTTTGAATAGGGTTTCACTTTTATTCCCTGAATGGGGATCCTCCTATTTAGGCTTCCCCATTTAGCTGGGGTGACAGGCATGCACCACCATACCCAGATTTTATTGAATGAGATGGAGGTCTTGCAAACTTTTTTGCCTGGCTGGTCTTAAACCACAATCCTCTCGGCTCCCAAGTAGCTAGGATCATAGGTGTGTGCCACAGCATCTGGCTTCATAGTCTCTAATTCTTTTTTATCTGCTGCTGAATTCAATTTGTTACTATTTTATGCAAGCCTCTTACATGCGTTTTCGTAAGATATTGAGTCCTTGAGATGACATTGGTTTTTGTATCAGGGTCTGACAGAATGAGCTAGGAAGTGCTGTCTCCCCTCTGGTGTTTTGTAGTAGTCTGTGAATACTCTAAATGCTGGTAGGTCAGCAGTGGGGCCATCTGGGCCTAGGCTTGCTCTGTGGGCACTTGCTTTAGGTCTATTCAGATGGTCTCTCTTCGTACACCCACTTCTGTGCTTTGCCTGCTAGAATTCATCCATTTCCTTTCCTTCTCCAACTTGCCAGCACATTCATGGAATAGCTCCTGTTCCTTTTCTCGTTCAGGCAGTAGCAGCATCGTTGCCTCCTGCATTTCTGATTCTAGTATGTTGAGATTTTCCTCTTTCTCCTGGTCACACAGCTGGAGATGTGTCAATTTTGCAGATCTTTTCAAAGAACTCATTCCTGGCTTTGTTGATCTGTTCTCTAGAATCTTGGTTCCTGCTCTAATCTCTATTGCCTCTTTCCTTCTACTTGCTGGGTTTTATTTGTCTTCCTTTTCCCCGTTGTCTGTTAGGTTATACGTTTAGATCTTTCTTCTTTCTGGTAGGCAGGAGCCCATCATGTCAGAAGCCCTCAGTGGTTCCCAGTTCTCCGGGTCAGCGAACTCATCAGTCCTCATGGACTATTTTTACTATTTTTTTTTGAACAGGACCTGGGTTTGGGGCCATCTTCTTCCCCCTTCCCCGCAGGCGCAGGCTTCCTGGGGAGTCGACGTGATGTTTCCTCCACCCCCAACCGCGTGTCCCTCTCCTTTGCAGGGCGAGTGCTCCGCCAAGTGTCGCAACCTGTTCGTGCTGGAGACTGTGTGCGTGGCCTGGTTCTCCTTTGAGTTCCTGCTTCGCTCCCTGCAGGCCGAGAGCAAGTGCGCCTTCCTGCGGACGCCGCTCAACATCATCGACATCCTGGCCCTCCTGCCCTTCTACGTGTCGCTGCTCGTGGGCCTGGCTGCGGGTCCCGCGGGCAGCAAGCTGCTGGAGCGCGCGGGGCTGGTGCTGCGGCTGCTGCGCGCGCTGCGTGTGCTCTACGTGATGCGCCTGGCGCGCCACTCGCTGGGGCTGCGCTCGCTCGGCCTCACCGTGCGCCGCTGCGCGCGCGAGTTCGGGCTGCTGCTGCTCTTCCTCTGTGTGGCCATGGCGCTCTTCGCGCCGCTCGTGCACCTGGCGGAGCGCGAGCTGGGCGCACGCCGCGACTTCTCCAGCGTGCCGGCCAGCTACTGGTGGGCGGTCATCTCCATGACCACCGTGGGCTACGGCGACATGGTGCCGCGCAGCCTCCCGGGCCAGGTGGTGGCGCTGAGCAGTATACTCAGCGGCATCCTCCTCATGGCCTTCCCGGTCACCTCCATCTTCCACACCTTCTCGCGCTCCTACTCGGAGCTCAAGGAGCAGCAGCAGCGCGCAGCCAGCCCCGAGCCGGCCCTGCAGGACGACAGCACGCGCGAGGACAGCACGCGTTCGGGCTCAGCCAGCGCCGAGGACTGCTCGCAGGGCCCCGAGGGCGGGGACTCGGTGGGGAGCACGCGGGGCGCCGCGGGACCCTGAGCAGCGGGGCGGGAGGTTCGGGCTGCGGCGGGTCAATGCCTGCGCCCTTCCAAGGCCCACAAAACGGCCATCCGCTGACCCTGGAGCCAGGAGTTTGGTCCAGCGCATGTCGCTGCAGCAGGCGCAGCCAGCCTGGCTCCCCAGAGTCATCCCGTGCTTCGCTGATGCCTAGCGGATTCGACAGCCTTGGTCTGCCTCCTCTTCCCCTTTATCATCCTTTGGGTTTTAAATTTTCTATGGTTGATCAAAAATAAATTCAGTGAGTCCCAGAAATGACAAGCCTGGAGCAAATGCCAGGGCACACTGGCCCTGGGGCTGACCCTGACTCTTCCAACCACTCTGTGACCAGGGCAGTGCTGGGGAGCATTGGTGGGTGGGGAATGGCCTTGCCCAACCACCTTGTCACCCTCAGTGGACATGGGAGTTGGAAAAGCCATGGGCAGGCACCAGCACTGCAGAAGTCCATACTGCCTTCCAGGACACAGGATCAGAGGTTTGACACCATACTCACAACCCCCAACTCCAAGTACCTGTTCCTTGGAGGGAACCTCAGACTGACCTCTGATCCCCAGTCCCTGACACCAGCCCCTCGGGTGACACGCGTCTTCTGGTAGCTCCCCCTCATGAGGTAGCAAAGCTGAAGACTGGCATGCAGGCATTTTAGTCCTTTCCCTGCCCTCCCAGCTACTGTGGGACCATAGCCTCATCCCTAGGGGACGCTGTATTCCCTGGAAAGTCCCCAGATTTGACTCAAGATGGCTGCGGGAGGAGGTTCAGGGTTCAAGGGTGCACTGTCCGCATAAGAGCGGGACCCTTTCTCTGTCGGGTAGGAGGAATGGCGCTTTACAAATCATGCTGCTTTGTACCTTTTCCTTTTTTTTGGCAGTGCTGGGGCTTGAACCCAGGGTTTTATGCATGGTAGGCTAGCACTCTACCACTGAGCCAAATCCTCAGCTGTACCTTTTCCTTTTAATGAGCTCAGTCACCACAGAGCTTATTAGTGCCTCCCAGAGGGCCCACTACCTGTAGGGCACCCTCCCTGCCCACTACACTGTAGCTTTCAGCAGGGGCCCCAGTGTGAAGCCCTTGTACTGCAGACGTAGCCTAAGATCCTGTTGCAACTCAATAATAATTAAAAAAAAAAAAAAAAAACCGGCCTCTCCTTTAGCTCTGGGCTGAGTTCCTCTTGGGTGGGTATCACATATGGTCTATGGAGTCAGCCCTGAGCACAGGACTGCTGGGGCCAGGGCAGGGGGTTTCCCATGATCATAGGGGCCATCTGGGAACAACCAGAGCACCATCTGCAGCAGCGAGTAGGGCAGGGTTGGTGATCTCAGTTGAATCCAGCGATGGAGTGGGCTGGGTTCTGAAGAGGTACATGGGGTGAGCCTCTGCTCCCCACCCTTGTCATCCTTGTCCCCAGCAAAGCACTGGCATACACAGATGGGCTGCAACTCCTAGTCAAGGCCTGGGACAAGGGACAAGCCAGAAATGAACCCAGATTGCTGTCCCTCAGGGGCCATGTAAGTGGTGGGGAATGGCCAGGGGAATCTGCAATAGTTCTGGACAGCCCCAGGAGCTCCCACAACCAGGGACTAGAGTGCTGGAGGTCACCTTGGGTCACCAGATGGTGGGCTGTCAGCCAGATCTGCTGAGAACAGTGGATGGAGAGGGACACACTAGCTGCTAGACCAGCATGGCCACCCTGGGCTTCTCTTCCCTCTGAAAACCAAGAGGCCTGCCCTCCCACCCTGCTTCGGGGAGGGCATAGGCTGGGCTCAAGCAGACTCCATGTATCACCTCAACTGCTCATCTGATTGTAGGAACATGAGCTCCCCAGACTCCCACCAGCCCACTCCCACAGACACAGTCAGCTGTACTGGAAACGCCTGTTTGTGGTGTAGGGCTTCCTTGTGCACCTGAAGTTTGAAGTGAACAAAACCACACAGGATAGCAGTGATGTGACTAAGCTGAGAAATGCCGAGGATGAGACCACCCCATCCCAAATGGCAGCACAGGTCATGGTCACTGTGAGCAACAATGCCAAGCTGGGCTGTCTGAGCAGAGGCCAGTGTGTCAGTGAGTCTAGGCAGGGCCTCACTTCTCTATGCCTCAGTTGGCCTAGAGTGTCCCCAAACCTCGTGACTGACTCCACAAGCTGGAGATGCATGAATCTAGTCATTCCTGGGACAATTATCAGTCTTGAGGAGGATGGTCTGTACCCAGACCTTCCAGGACCCTTGGATTCAACCACCAGATGCCCTCATACACCCACACTGTGCCAGGTCCCTAGTGCTGTCATAGGCCCTTTAATCCACCCATGCAACCCCCATACCCGAACCTGCATGTACCCCATCCTCCTACCTTCCCCCAAACCTGTACCACTCTACCCATCCCACTTCCCAACCTGTACCACCCATCCAGCCCCCTGCTGCTCCCCCATTCACTCCCCATCCAGCCCACCTGCTGACTCCACTCATTTCCCCGCACCGGTGCCACCGCGCTGGATTCATAAGATGTTTATTACCCCCAAAGGCGCCACACAGGATACATTTATTCAGCAGTCATCAAGCCTGCGATCGATGACATTTTAATCTGGAGGCAATTACCACTACAGACGTCTCCATTTTTAAAAAATAAACATCTTTAAAGCATCTTGCAGGTTAAAGAGCTAAGCAAGAGTCTCACCTAACATTCAAGAGTCTCTGAGGGACACTGGGGAGGTGGAACTGACTTCCACCGGCCACAGTGGCTGCCAGAGCCTCCGTGCTGACGAGAATAGTGGTAGCCCTCCCACCCAGCAGAAGGGAAGATACTGCTGTGGGAGTCGCACGGAAGCACCTAGAATATTCTGGTCAAAGGAGCCCCCTGTCAGCACAGGGCTTCTGAGCATAGAATGGCCTCATGGAGAACTGAGAGAGGGGCAGAACGTGGAATAGGTGTCAGGCCAGTGGCTCCCACCGCTGCCAGAAGCAGCAGATGCACAGCTATGGCACGCAGGGGCCAGACAGAGGGTGAGGACGGACTGGCCGCCAGCAGCCAAGACCACACCGTCCAGAGAGCTGCAGGCCACCAGAGGGACTATGGACCTGTTTTGGGGTCAGGCCAGTGTTTTCTGAGAGGATGCAGAAGAAGACACCTGCCTTTTCCATTACCTTGAAAATAGCCAGAAGCACTGGGTACAAGATCCACTCACCACCCTCATGGCAGCTGAGCACAGAGCAACACCAGTCCCAGCCCCACCCACTCTGAGCACCCTCTCAGAGGCTGATGGAAAACCTGGCACACGGATTCCATCTCTGCCCACACCCACTTGCCAGCGTGCAGGGCCCACAGGGCCGGCCTCCCAGACACAGGAGCACAGGTGGTCTGGTCAGTACCCAAGTCAGCAGTCACATGTCCTTGTCCTCCCTGGACAGCTCAAAGGGCCTTGGCACTGGCAGGGTGCACTGCATGAGGCACTGGCTTCTGGGGGTGGCGGGCAAAGGCATAGGCTTGCCCCAGGATGGCCAGGTCCACTAACACCTGCAGCAGGCCACACACTGAGAACTGCAGGGGTGCGCCATTGAGCAGGAAGTAGGCCGTCTTGAAAGTGTCACCACTCGTCCACATGAGTACCATCTTGAGGCTGTAATGACATAAGAGGGTGTTCAGCAGTGACCCAGGAGGACAGGGACACACGGAGGTCAGCCGTGGGGACAAGAAGGTAGGTAGATACACCAGGAAGATGGGAGCTACAGCAGGAGGATGGGGCACTCCTGACCCAGCCCTGTCCCACCTACCCAAGACCCTGGTGTCCCAGAGAGAAGAGATGACAGTCCACCTCACACGAGGGTCCCGTGTCTCCAACTCCTATAGGTACAGCAGCAGGGCCTGAGAACCCAGCCCTAGGTGTCTGTGGAAGCCAGCACCTCACAGTCAGTCTGCCTGGCCCAGAGGGGTGGCCCCTCACCAAAGCTCCTTCACCTGCACCTAGCTGGAGGTGCTCTACCCAGTGCTGAGATAAAAACTAAAGGCCAACAGAGAAGGCCACGGAGGTGCACACAGCAGGAAGCAGCTACCGTGGGCCTCCTCCCAACTAAGAGTGGAGGAAATTTCCACCAGCAAAAAGTGCTGCAGTTTCCCTTCAGGAGCCTCCCACTGTTGCTACCTGTTGTCCCACACATCCCTCATCTGCACACTGCAGAACAAACACCAGCCTGCCAGGCATAAACACAAGCAGGACCATTTTCCTGCAGACAAGTTTCAATGAGACCCATTTCCGTAGCAGACTGAACCTGTTACAGTTAGTTAAGCAAAACTGCAGGTCCAGAGTGAGCTGGATGTTAGCATGATGACTCCAGGCAGGAATTCTCATCAGGCCTACAAGACCCCAGCCCACGCGGCAGAGGAGGCATCCCTCACACTGAGCACACAGCCACTTCCCCATCCGCCCGCTACACTGTCCCAGGCTTCACACCCTCCTGTGCCCGTGGCTTGCTCCCTCCTTCCTGGCACACAGCCCAAGGAGAAACCCTCAAGTGGTCGTCTCTTTCGACCAGTTCAGGATGGTACTTTCGATGCTCCAGGAAGAACAGGGCAAAGCCCCAGCCTCATGTTACGTCTGCAAAATCTAGAGTTATGGGACCGGGAACAGTATCGGTGTCCTCTGAACTATGGGACAAGGACCCAGCCCTCCTGACAGTGTCACAGAGTGTCCCCTGAGGAACCCTCCACCCAACAACCACAGAACTCAGCAGAACCACTAAGTGTTTTTCCACCTATGATGAACACCGCATTTGCGGGTCAGGACAGATCTCGCAGTCTCACTAGAGGCTCCTTTGCCTAGGCTGGTGCCCTGGAAATCTAAACACAAAGGCACCATGCTTCCCCTGGCCCCTGCCCTCCAGCTCCAACTCCACCTGAGGCTGGTTTGCACGCTGCCTGCTGTTGGCAGCACAACACCTACCAGGTTTTTTCCTACCTCATTCTTTTCCAATTCTCAGAGGATTTTTTTTTTTTTTTTTTTTGGTGGTCACAACCGAACCAAGTTATAATTTAGGGAATGGTTAAACTGTATTTAACTTTTGCTAATGTCCTGTTATCCTGAAACCTTAGTGGAAAGCCAAATTGCAAAAAGAGCCCACATGAGCTACATACACCTTCCTAGGCCCCCAGAAGATCTCCAGAGACAGTCTCATTTGTCCAGGCCCCCAGTTGTTCCCCAGAGAAAGTCATACCTGCCCAAGGCCCTCAGAAGCTCCTCAGGGAAAATCACATTGTCCAGTCCCCCAGCTGTTCCCTAGGGCCAGTCACACCTTCCCAGGCCCCCAGAAACCCCCCATGACACCCATGCCTGCACACCCAACAGAAACAGAAGGCAGGTGCTGGGCTCTCAGGTTCCAGTTCCTAGAGCCAGCCAGGATGCAACCTGGTCAGTTGACTGGCCCGTAAATAGGATGTGCCTGGCCTGGTGGGAAACTAGAACCAGGTGTAGCTCTGCTGGGCTCATTGCCTTCTCTGCTTCAAAGCCAGGCAACCAGCAGGGAGTGAGAAGGCCCAGTGATGAGGGTTATCCACCCCTCAGAGCAGGCAGCTGAGGATTGTTGGGGTGGCCTCAAAACACCCAGAGGTGGCAAGCATTAGACAGAGAGCTTAAATAAGTCACCCCCCATGCCACACAGAAAGTAGGCATAGTATCCAGGCTCAGCTCCAAACCTGACAGGGACAGGGTGCAGGGTGCAGGACACACAGCTGTAGCCCTGATGTAGGATCACCTGTCCCCGTCCATCTGCCTGGATCCCTCACTGTCAGCATCCCTCTGGCCCCAAATGCACAGGTGTGTTCTCTGCAACAGCGAGCAGAGACATGAAGTCATCACTGATGTATGGTGCTGTCCAGCAACCTAGGACATTCTCAGCCGCCTGGACTCCTCAGTTTGCCTTTGTCCTTCAGGCAGATGGCCTGTAAGTGACCTCACCACTGTACTGTTCCTTGGACAGGAACCTGACTTTGCTGAGGCCCTGACACCAGCCTCATAGTTTAAGGGGCTAGGCAGAAAAAAGGGACAGCAATTCAGGCAGGGCCCAAGTGATCTGCACATCAGGAGCTGCAGTAGCCACCATGTGCAGCACAGGTGATGTCTGGACCCAGGGCACTCATCTCCCACAACTACCAGGATTTTTAGTGCATTATTTCCCAGTGGCATCAAATTCTTGCTCTTCCCCACACTGGGTTTTCTACGGCCCTTCACCCCAATGCCATGTGCATGAACAGAGTGAGCCTGCCAGGCACAGTGGTTCATGGCTGTCACCCCAGCAACTGGAGCTGGGGTAGGAGAATTTCAAGTTGAAGGCCAGCCTGGGTTTACAGTGTCTCAAAAAAAAAAAAAACAGTGAGCACCACAAATTCTGCTACCTGGTGGCTTCTAATGCCACCAAGTCCCATCCTCAGTCTGCTGGTAGTAAGTCCCATCCCAAGGACATCCCTTGCTCCTTGGACAGAGGAAACAGCTGGCCCAGGCTCCGACCAAGAGACACCCACAGTTCAGAAAGCCCACCCTCCTGGAAAGAGAGCATTGTATGGGGAGGAGATGAGAACTGTTACTTCCAGGGGCCCAGGTTTTCTACTCCCAGCTTGGCACTGGTGGCCTGGGACTGATTGCAGCTCCCTCTGCATGCCCCTCACTGCCAGCTGCCACCCCTTCAATGGGCCTCTTCGCCTGACCCCTTCTCCTTACTGTTTTAATCCAGGCTCCAGTTACCTCATTCTTGGCTCCAGCATTTTTCCTCCAAACCAAGCTGCCAGATCACTACTCCTAAAATACCTTTCACCTCATCCTTGCCCTGGGCGCCAGTGGGAAATGCTTCACCCCAGCCAGGGCCAGGAGACAAGCACTAACTTCTGCGCCTGTGCATCCTGCCTTCCAGCCTTGGCCCACAGGCATGCCGACTGTCCTGCCCCAGTCGAGCACAAGGGACAAGCCACCCCCTTACCACCTATAAAAACTCTCTCAGGACTGAAGCCCACCAAAACCATGTCCCCTTGGAGGTGGTCTGTGACCCTGGGTTAGGCAAAGGTCTGTTAGGTGAGACACCAAAAGTACAAGTGATAAAAGGAGAAACATACATTGGATGGATGTCATCAGCTAAAACTTCTCACCATTAAGAAAGAAGGAAGAAACAGAATGAGAGAAAACATCCATAAATCACATATGTGGATAAGGTTCTACTATCTGGAATGTATTTTTTAAACTCTTACAATTCAGTAATAAAACACCACAAATAACTAATTTAAAAATGGGCAGAGAGCCTGAAGAAGGTTTCTCCAAAGAAGATGTAACAAGGGCCACATGAAATGATGCTCAATGTCATCAGGAAATACAAACCAAGACCACAAGGAGACAGCACCTCTCACCCACCAGGATGGCTGGAACCATGGAGCAGATAAGAGGGTCAGTGGAGAAACAGGGATTGGTGTAGCCACCCTGAAAAACAGGCTGGCAGATGCTCACAGGGTCACACTGAGTCACCATACAACCTAGCCATCCCATGCTGAGGCACCTGCCCACAGAAAGGAAAACACATCCACAGAAACACTTGTACCTGGCATTATTCACAATAGCCTGAAAACTGCTGAGCACCCTGATGTCATTAACTGAAGAACGGATAAACAAGCCTGAAATACTCATATAATGAAGCATGATTCGGCCACAGAAAGGAAGAAAGCACAGTTGCGTCCACAACCTAGATGAACCTGAAAACATGACATGACCTGAGAAGCCAGACAGGGAAGGCCACACACTATCCGATCCAGTTACAATGTCTAGAACAGGGTATCGGGAGAGACGGTGAGTGGAAGGCAGGGATGCGGGAAGCCAAGGAATGACAGCTATGAGCTGAGGTTTCTAAACCTTTATGGTGATGAGAGTTCTCTAAAATTAGACCATGGTGATGGCTGCACAAGTATGTGTGCGCTCAAGTGTATCAAAGTGTACTTTACATCGTGACTGTGGCATGTGAATTTATCTCAATAAAATGGTTTTTCTAAAAATGTCCCGCGGCTCTTGTTGAGCACTCTGTTCCAACCTTCCTGTTACAGTGGGCGAGCCAGCTGTCTTTGCGTCAGTGGGTGCCGAGCATCACAGATGATTGGGCCTGATGTACAAACAGCACAGGGAGATCCATGGAGGTCTGAGTGACAGTCAGGGTCTGAAGGAGATGTACTTTGCTTCCCCAGAGTCTATGAATCTAATGGGGGATAAAGGCAAGGTGCTGGGGATCTGGTGAGATGCAGGGCCAGTTTTCTGGCACAGCCTGTGATGGCGACAGAGCCCAGGGTTCCAGCTGGACTCACAGAGTGTCTGGGTATCTCTGAGAGAAGCAACAGCCCTGGCTCAAAGGCCAGTGTCTCAGATTCCTCCTCAGCACATTGGCTATTTGAGGGCCATGCCTGCCTGCCCTCTCCTTGCCCTGTCCTCACATGGTCTCCATGGGGCCTCCACAGGGCCTCCAGGGTCCTGCAACACCTCTGCTTCCATATGCAGCATTTCTGATGCCTTCCACATCATTCCTTCCCGGTTCTGCAATAATAACGTGCTGCACTGAATGCTCATCCCCCTCTTATCTTTTACACCCACCCCCGCTCTCCAATAATTACTTGTTAGGGAACAGTCTTCAAATCCAGTAAAACCTGGAGGAAGAAGAATGCAAATACCCCACAGAGTTTGCCTTTTGCATTCACTGCACTAAGTAGGAAAGTATTTCAAAAGCTTTGTCATTTCTTATCACTAGTTCCGGAGCCACAATCACTTCATTTTTTAAAAGAAAATTGTTATTCAAAAATATCTCTGGTAGTTGCTCCAAGGTAGGAAAAGTGTGCACAGGGGCGTATGTGTGCATATGTGTAGGCATGCATGCATGCCATCAACCATGCTTCTTGACAGTACCAAGTGTCTAGGCGGTACATGGGCAGGACACACCTGAACCTGAGCCTGTCCAGAGACAGAAGGGAACCTGGATGGGACTGTGGGAAGCAGTGTGAGGCCTTTCTGGCATGGAGGTGGGGACCGCACTTGGACACTGCAAGGAGACAACACAACAAGGATATTCATCAACAATGCCACCCTGCAGCCATGGGAACCCAGGCACAGGGGCCTGTGTACACAGAGGACCCACCTCAAGGGAGCCTCCCCAGCAGGCCACCCGGGCATCTCTGCACACTTGCCCCTCCCCAGCCTTCAGCTGGAAATGAAAACTAGACACTCCCCTGGCATCCAACATGGGGGTTTTGAGACACATCTCAGACTCAGGAGGAAAGATCTGGCTTCCAGAAGTTACCCCTGGGAATGCTCAGACCCTGCCTGTGTCTGGGCAGTATCGATCATGGTCTCTGTACTCCAGGGTCAGAAGAGGCATGGTTCTCTACTTGCCCTTCACTGGGGCTCTAGACCCCTGCCACGCTTGGGTCCTGCCACAGTCTGAATGTTTGTGTCTCTCCAGCATTCACCCAAAAGCTGGATGAACAGCACTGAGAGCTGGGGCCTCCCTTCTAGAGCATCTGTAGAACAGTCAGACATGCAGGACTGACCTCAAGAAAGACCTGATGTGGGGTGTCCCTGAATAGTCTCTAGAACTTGGATTTTAGGAGGGTTTCCATGTTCTCCATCTGATAAGGGCAGCCCTGTGCCAACAGTGTGGTCTACATGGGACACCTGCTCTCCTTCAGGAAGTCAGAACAGCCCTGTGAGTGGCCTTTGTCAGGCAGAGGCTACACCCTGTGACCTGAGCACTCCATCCTGCAGGCTCCTAGCTAGGAAGAGCAGTCTGTGAGACCCTCACTCACCAGCAGGTAAGGAACATGAGTGTGAGCCTTAGATGGAGTCTCCCCACATATCAGCAATAATCCCAGGTGCCAAGAGAAGGCCAAGAACCACCAGGCCTTCTACAGACTCTCCCAGCAGAGGGAGGCCAGGCAACCCCACACACAGACAGGGCTCCTCTGTGCTGAGCCCAGAGCCAATTCCACAGCCACCTTCCAATGAGTTCTGCACACATGTTTAGAGTTGGTGCTCCATCTGCATACCCACCAGCCCCAAACCCGAGCCTGTGGGTCCTTACAGCCTGTGAGAATCAACTAAAGCTAGGTCTTTTCTGTCAAAGGAGTTAACATCTATCATTGAGTAGATGCCAGCTAACTTTCCTGAATTGCTGCCTATGTGCTTTGTAAAATGTTACTGGACCTTGCAAAGTTCTTGCGTCAGACAGCGCTATCTACCACCAGGTGCCCTAATCTCAAACTGCTTGATGAGTAAAATGTCAGCCCCCATACCCTATCTTTAGGGGACCTTGGGAAATCACTTTCTCACTGAGCTGCAAAAATGTCACTGCATCAAAAAACCTTGCCATTATCACAGATAATAGCTAGCCAATCAGGAAGATTGTGAACCCAAACCCTCCATCAGGGTGAGAGGCAGAGAGATAAAAACTGAGCTGACTCCTGGTTCAGTGTGCTCTGCCTATCAGACTATGGTCTGTAGCTGCACCCTTCTGCAGAAGTAAAACTTTTCTTTTTACCTTGCTGAGTGACTCCTGAGTGTTTCTTTGATCACCATTTGGGAATGGTGCTTCTAACAAGCCCTACCCACCACTGAAGAAACACCCCAGGCCCAGCTCAGGGCTTCACACGCCCTCACCTGGGAAACTCTGGATCGACTGTGCTCATGCCGATCAGCCCAGTTCTCTCCTTCACACCGACACATCATGCCACAGCCCAGACTGGCACTTACATCCCTGACCACACCTGAGCCCATACCTTATACCTTGTACCGATGCCTCACACCTGCACCTATGCCCTACACCTGTACCAACACTTCATATCGGTAATAGCTGAGTTGTGTAAAGTGAACTGCAGGGAGACACCCCGCCGATGACTGAAATGAACTCACAAATGCTGTGAAATCATCACTCCCTCCTCACCCACAGACAGACTTGAGGGTGTGATTCCACTGACCTAAAGTGAAAGAACTGACATGGGTGGGAAAACTCAAATAGAAGTTAGTGAAAACTCAAGTTGTTAGTGAGTCTGAATGAAAACAGATGGGATCTCTTGTTAGTAAAACTCAAGTTGTTAGTGAGTCTGAATGAAAACAGATGGGATCTCAGTGAGAAGTGAATGGGATCATAGTGAGAATTGGATGGGGTCACAGAATGGATAGAGCCACAGTGAGAATGGATGAGGTCACAGTGAAAAGTGAATTGGGTCACAGTGAGAAGTGGGTGGAGTCACACTGAGATGGATGGGATCACAGTGTGATGGATAGGGTCACAGAAGAATGGATGGGGTCACAGTGAGAAGTGGATAGAGTCTCAGTGAGAATGGACAGGGGCTCAGTGAGAAGTGGACAGAATCACAATGAGAATGGACAGGGTCTCAGAGGTGAATGGGGTCATAGTGAGAATGGATGGGATCACAATGAGAATGGATGGGGTCACAGTGAAAATGGATGGGGTCTCAATGGGAATGGACAGGGTCACAGTAGGAATGGATAGGGTCTCAGTGAGAAGTGGATGGGGTCATAGTGAGATGTGGGTGGGGTCTCAGTGAGATGGATAGGATCTCAGTGAGAATGGACGGGGTCTCAGTGAGAATGGACGGGGTCTCAGTGAGAATGTATAGGGTCACAGTAAAAGTGGATAGGGTCTCAGTGAGAAGTAGACAGAGTCACAATGAGAATGGATGGGGTCTTAGTGAGAATGGATGGGGTCTCAGTGAGAATGGATGGGGTCACAGTGAGAATGGATGGGGTTTCAGGGAGAATATGGTGCTAGGTTAAACAGCTCCCTGTGCTGTTGTCCCCTCCCCACAGGTGGATCTGTTTTCAGTAAACACTACTTTCCACTGGAGTTTTCAATGAGTCCATAGGAATCATCCTATGCTTGCTACACATCCCCAGATGCCATACTCATGCCAATCTTAACCTAGTGGGGGCACAGAGCTACCTCAGCTTCACCCACCTGTGCCAACACATTATCTTTGGAAGCCTAACCAGATCTCATTGTTCCTGGATCCTTAACCCTTAGGAAGCTCTCCAACCCTTGAAGGTCATGGCCTCTGCAGAAGGTCCTTGATCCTCTCCCTCTCCCACCTGAACATATCTACTCAGAAGAGGGGTCAAAGGCCCAATGTGTTCAATGATCTGATTTTACTGTATTTTGGGGTATTCAATGGTCCCAGGAGCCTCTGCAATGCCCCTACCTCATGCCCTCTGTGGAGCGGTGTCGGTGGTTTCGGTACAGCTGTGGCACACCCAACATGGCCTCAGTTACGTAGTCCGTGAAACTGCTCCAGTGCCAAAAGTGGCGAGGATCAAAGTCTAGGGAGAAAGGGAGAATGCACCTCAGCAGAGTGAGCAGGTCAGGGTCAAGGCAGTGGGACATGCAGCTGAGGCGAGGAAGGTCAAGTGTGGGCAAGAAGGTGCAACAACTGACCAGTCAGAGTCAGTGTGAGATGCCAACAGTCATGGCAAGTGGACAGGAGCACAAGCAGGTCAAGGTCAGCATCGGGCGATGTGAGGAGAAAGACATGAACTACATGATGGTCAGGTTTAGTGAGAAGACATGCACAGGTCAAGGGCAGTGCAAGGAGAAACAGGAGAGGTCAAGATCAAGGAAGAGATGTGAGGTCAGAATCAGTACAGGGAGACTCCAGCTGCATGTGTTCCAATTAAGGCACCTTTTTTTTTTTTTTTGACACAGGGTCCATGTAGAGTAGGCTGGCCTTGAATTCTCAATCCTCCTGCCTCTGCTTCCTGAGTGCTTGGATTACAGGCATGTATCACCATGCTTGGCCTGATCAAGGCTCTTCTGAAGGAACCTTAGTACAGATTTTAAAAATGTCAATGTAAAAGCAGCTAAAATCCGCCAAGCACCAATGGCTCATGTCTGCAATCCTAGCTACTTGGGAGGCTGAGATTGGGAGAATCCAGGTTTGAGGCCAACCAGGGCAAATAGTTCATGAAACGCCCATCTCCAAAATAACCAGAGCAAAATAGACTGGAGGTGCAGTTCAAATGGCAGAGCACCTGCTTTGCAAGCATGAAGGCCTGAGTTCAAATTCAGTCCCATCAAAAAAAAAAAAGGCAGCTAAAATACTTTGACCTCATTAATTCTTCCTTGCATAGGGCAAGGATTATACCATAACCTCTGAATCCAATTTCTGGGTTACAGCTTTCTGTAATTCTGACTTCTATAATTCTGACTTAACCATGTACCTCTGTTGCACCCACCCCCTGGGATAGCTCTGCTGGTAAGCATGTCAACCCTGAGTCTTCTGATGCAAAGGACTCACTCAATGCACACTGCTACTACTATGCAGTCACCAGAACAGTATTGCTTGCCCAGTGGTGGATTCTGTGGAGACCACATTCACAAGCACTCACACAAATTAGCAAATTAAATGACTCTTCCCGACCCTGACCTGGTTCTTAGGTTAGCAGGTGGGAACCACAGAATCCTATAGATACAAGTGGATGGCAAGGCATTCTGGGGTCACTGGCCTCTTCCTGGATTCTTCTAAGCACGAATACAGTTTTGTGGGGACTTGTGGGGTTATTTTTGCAGTACTGAGGATTGAATCCAGGTCCTCAAATGTGGTAAGAAAGCTTTCTACCACCGAGCTGTCACTCCAAGAATACATTTTAACCAGGAAAACATCCAACACGTTAATGGCTGGGCTGTCCTGTTTATAAAGGACCACTTGACTTTCCTTAATGCCCTAACTGCAATAAAGCTGCAGCTGTGTGGTTCTCAGAGGCTCAGCCTGTCCTTGATCAACTTCTCTGCATCTGAACTGTGCAGCAAATCTTCCGTCTCAGGGGAAGTCATCCACAAGGGAGGAGGGGTCTCTAACTCAACCCAAGCGCTCAGAATCAACACTAGAAAGAACAGTCTCTATTCCTACCTAGTGAATTTACCCAACAAAATATGACAAAGCTCATCTTCAGTTCTGCTTTTAAATGTCATTATATAAAAAAAAAAGTCATTATTAAAAAAAAAAAAACCAAGCTTGAAGGAATCACAACACACACACATTCTGTGTCACCTACCCCACGCAGCAGCATTTTGTATACGTCACACACCATCCGACCTGGAGGTCTATGACCCCATTTCCAGGCTTAGAGACAAGAAGGAGTTGCTCCATCCTGAAACAACCTGTTCCCTCCACAGTCTGGCCCGGGGAAATCCTGAATAAAGACTTGCCTTCCTGGGAAGGTGTTTCTACCAACCTAAGACTAGGTGGCACACAGCCCAGGTGACCCAGAGCAGCCCAGGTAAGTTACCAACCTAACCATGAAAGTCTGCTATGGGGCAAGTTCACCTCAGGGATAAGGTCCTGCAAGGGGAGTAGGGATGTCACCCGAGTGCCACTTACCATCAGGTCCTCCAGCATTTGCCACTCAGAACCTGTGATTGGCTTTGACTAACCTTCGTGCTGAGCCTCCCACATGTCAAGCACTGGCCTGCACCTGTTCCTGGCTCCCATGTATCCTTGCTGTGGGAGGGGGCACTGGGTCACTTTCAGATGAGGTACTGCGTGTGAGAAGGAATGGCTTCCTTGTGGGCACCCAAGGGAGGGAGTTGCACTTGCTCTTGGTCACTTCACTACCTCTCCTTCTGTCCCAGCCCTCAGGGAACACTAACTGCTGACCTTCAGAGGCCAAGTGAATTCTTGACAGAGTGAATTCCTACCTCTAGACACAGTGGACAGAAGTCACAGGCCAATGTACACATTAGTGCTGGTGACCAGAGACCCAGAGACCCCAGGAGCAGCTCCACAACAGGAAGCAAGGACCTGGATGAGGGATGGCTCCTGAGGCAGTCAGGTATCAACAGGCTGAGAGCAAGTTCAGAAGAGCTGACAAGGAAAGACTCAGCGTCCTAGGTTTACCTCCAGAGATGAAATGACCAAGAAGAGGCATGTGCTTTAATAACCTACAAGCCAATGTCACTTGGGACTCTTGGAGAGTTGAGGAGGCACACACTCCTTTGAATCTATATGATTTGCAACAGCACAAACAGCCCAATTTAAAAAGTGGGCAAAGAACCACAGGAACCAAAGCTCAGCATTAATAGTCAAGTCCACATGAGCAGACTGTTCAGAGCCACCCTGCCACTGCAGAGAGCCTGACCCATCAGACTGCTCCAGAGCAGAAAGAGACCGAGTCCAGGCAGGAAATTCTGACCTCACAGGCCAACTCCTGTCAGCTCATCACAAGAACAGAGGTGTAGGCAACCACCAAGGCCCCATGAAAGCCAGAAGAGTTGTGCAACTTACAGTTCCAGTCCTGTGGCAGCCCGCCAGCACCCTCGTGTGGCTTGTCTGTGCCAGTTCAGGCAAAGTCCTTCCCGCTCACTTAAGCAGTCCTGATGACAGCAAGGCTTTGATGCAACGAAACACCCTGCAGCTCCACCCCACCCCTAGAAGAGCACGTTCCTCCCCAGCTCCCCAAATCCTGGCACCCACACAGCAAACCCAGGGCCACAGCCTCCAATGTCTGAGAGGGCTCTTGAATCTCTTAGGGCATCATGAATGTCTTATGTCATAGCCACAGCAATGGACCCTGTGAACTACAGGCATCAGGAGCCCAGATGGCCACCCAGAACCCACATCTTAATCTGTGAGTGTTGGGGTGCATGAGGAATTCTTGATAGAGGTACAAGTCCGGACCAGTGGGTCAGTTCCTGAGCATCATATAAGCAAGACCACCTCTTGATGCCATGGGCAGCTTCCCCACACTCCAGCAGAGAACGAGTGGCAGGACCCAACTCTAACAAGGAACAGTTCACCTCATCTGGAACTGCAGTGATCCCCAGAGCTGCACATCATGGACTCTGGGATGACAGACCATTCTGGCAGCAGCAGCAGAAGTAAACCACACTCCTCCTTCTGTATCTATAAACTAACTAGGAGGAGATAGATAATGCAACACCTCTGCCCCCAGGCCGTTGGTTAGGCCGTGCAGCGCAGCACTCCGTGAAGTGTCAAGATCTCTCCAGTAGAGGAAGGATAGAACAGGAGCAAACGCAGCTTCCCACCAGATATCCTGCCAGCCCTCAAATCAGTTTTGAAATGGACAGAGTGGGTTTCAGTGATGAGGAATTACACAAACAAGCTCTGTGCTTCCAAACCCTGAGGCCCCTTTTGGACAGCTCTGATGACAGCTGTCTCCCCTCTGACCCAGGGTCCAGCCAGCATGCAGCCAGAGGCTCATCTGGAAAAGAACACTCACCTGACTCCAAAGACTTAGTACAAAGAAGGAATCAACTTCCTATCAACAGTGTCTACGTTGATTTCACAGTGAAATGACATTAATGTTAACTTTACCCATATTTTTTCTTTCAGATCAGGTCTCACTGTGTGACCCAGGTTGATCTCAAACACCTGGGCAAAAGCAATTCTGCTGCCTCAGCTTCCCAAGTAGCTGGACCACAGGTGTGCACACAGCGCCCGGCTTTAACCTTTTGGATGAGCTGCTGGAAAAACTACTCTACGTGTGGCCCACATGCTAGCTGCACTTTGATTCCATGGGGCAGGGTGGTCCAGCATTCACTGCAGCCCAGCAGGACTATTTGCTCAGGTGATCTGAGATGCATAGACAGTTACCACCCTACACAGACCATTTGCCTCACAGGACCCGAGGCCAGGCCCAGTGACCACCGGAAGGATAGAGGCAGAGACAGCTGAGCGTAACACTGTGAGGATGAAGAACAGGAAGCCACAAAGCTGACCAGCCTGTCTAAACTGGCAACCCCACCACTGGGCTCTGAGGATGGGCCTGTGAAGACCACGAGTCCCTGGGGACACCCATAAAGTAATGGTCTATAGTTGATTGCTATGAATGACAGCATGACAATAGTCAAGAGCAGACCAGAGGCCCTCTCCCCTGACCAGGGAAATGAGTTGAGCCTCAGCTCCTTGCCTGGTGACCAACGCTGAGGTCTCCCAACATGGAAGTTCAGTATGGTAATGGGAAGACATATCAGTGTTTAGGATAAGTACACTTATCCTCAAACAGTCAAAAAAAAAAGAACTACTGCCATGCACAATGGCTTATGTCTGTAATCCCAGCTACACAGGAGACTTAAGTAGGAGGATCAAACCCAGGTCAGCCCCAAGCAAAAATAAATAAATAAATAAATAAAGTTTATATTCACACTTTCTTGACTTGATGCTATTTTAATATTTTCAAAGTAAAAACCAACTGCCCAGAAGAAAACAAACAGAAAAGCTTGCTTCCTTCCCAGACCTGGTTCAGACTAACATGAAACCTTCCTCCAGCCACCATCAGAAACAGTTCCATGCCCATGGCCATGG